AGTACTGGTTCTCCTACAGCCACCACAAAATAACTGGAGGAGGGCAGCTCTTCTGTCTCCCCAGGATTAGGAGCAGAGGATTTCTGAGGATTTCTATTCCAGCTCTTTTTTTTGGAGAGTTTTTTTGCTATAGGTCGCGTGCACTCGCCAGAAAGAGAGAGACAGAGAGACAGAAAGCGACAAATCACCCCCCCCGGGGGGCGGGATAGCCATGCCACAATACCTTCTCCATTCTCCACTCAGGATCTTGGGCATGCACGCACATGCACCCAGAATGAGTTTTAAGCCACTGGGTCCGGGACTCAAACTGCCGTCAATTATATGGGAGTCCAGCGACATAGCCATTGTGCTAAACTGCTGGTCCCAAACTCTTATGTCCCCACTTTGATCCTGAAATTCCTAGGTCCCCCACATTTATCTGCTTTACTGCCTAAGACCTAGCTCTGCCAGTGAAGTTAGGGATCCTATGTCACCTACAGAACTCTTCCTCATTTACGAAGGCCTCCCGCATCTAATCTCATTTGCTCTTTATAACAAATGTATGGGTGGGTAGGCCAGGGTTCCCATATGCAGTTGTGGAAACTGAGGCTCCAGAAAGTTAATGATTGCTGGGCCTGTTAGTTTTCTAGAGCTTCCATCACAAAACACCACGGCCTGGGTTGCTTAAACAACGAATGTTCATTTTCTCACAGTTCTGGAAGCTGGAAGTCCAAGATCAAGGTGATAGTAGGGCTGGCTTCTTCTTAGGACTGTGAGATGAGGCTCTGTTTCAGGACTCTGTCGTGGCCTTGTATGGCTGTCTTTCTGCTGTGTCTTCACATCATCTTCCCTCTGTGTGTCTCTGGGTCCAAAGTTCCTCTTCTCTTAAGATGCCAGTCGTACTGGATTAGTGCGCACCCTAATAACCTCACATTAATTTAATGGTCTCTGCATACCCATATGCAAATAAGGTCATACTCAGTGGTGCTGGTAGAAGGGCTTTTCATATGTGTTTGGGCGGGGGTGGTGGCACACAGGTATCACAGCTAGTTGGTGGCCATGACACACAGGTGGCCTGCTCCCATTTGGTTTCTTCCTCTGCCGTTACTCAGCCCTGTCATTCTGTCCTGTGTCCTGTTTTGCTGACTCTGCAGCCCACCTCATCCTGGCCTTTTCTTTCCCAACCTTGCTGCCTCTGCCACAGCAGGATGTAGGAGGGACAAGGGAGGAGGCAGCAGTGGTAGTGGAACCCGAGGCTGTGAGTTCATTTGGTCGTCTCGCTGCCACTTCCAGCATGCAAAGGAAAGCTCTCTGGAAGCTGATTTGTTGTCAGACCAATCTAGACAGGTATGAATTGACTTCATGAGAAATCAATGCCAAGGCATCTCCGTGGCTATTTGGACATTCATCAAGTAGGTAGAAAAGATTAAGAACTTTATAATTTGGGGACCAGCAGATGGCATAATGGGTACATCACTGGACTCCCATGTAATGGACCACAGTTCGAGTCCTGGACCTGACAACTTAAACTTACACCGGGCGCGTGCGCGTGCCTGCCCAAAATCCCAAGAGGCGAATGGAGGAGAAGGGATTGTGGCGTGGCCATCCCCCCTGGGGGGGTGATTTCTCACTTTCTGTCTTCCTGTGTCTCTCTGTCTTTCCAGTGAGCACATGCTCCCTATAGCAAAAACCTCTCCTAAAAAAAAAAAAAAAGAGAGAACTTTATCATTTCTTCTTTAGCAGACCTTTATGCTTAAAAAAAAAAAAAAAAAGTGCACCTAGCAATGACAGCAGCAGCAGCAGCACGACAAAGCAGCAATGTGCCTAACCCTCTATGTTTGGGAACTTTGGATTTCCATGGGGGCAAGGCGCCATCTTGGACCGTGCTAACTGGTGATATGTAAATGCTAGTTCCAGAGCATAAGTGATTCATTCATTAAAAAAGAGT